GACAATACATCTAATTAAAGTGGTTAAATTGACCACTGTCCAGTGTATGTACATATCCCCAAGGCTGGAGTTACGGACAGGAACCTTTGACGACTAAACAATAGCCTTATGTCATTATACACCGCGCACCTGTACAGAAGGATTCGGGGCAAAACTACCAAATTAAATACATTAAAAATCGTATAATCAGTATACTGATTACTGTTGGAAGGTGCGATGTACGTGTAATACACAGAGTGAGGGGTTGGGGTGACGGTGGAGCGGGGAGGGTGGCCGTATTATCAAACCTATTCGTCACGTGTCTACGCTATATCACTAAGCATTCTCCCTTAATTATGCATTGCTTGTATTTTTCATTTTGTCATTGAATCGAACAGCACAGATATTGTCAGTAGGCATTTATACAGGGGACACATGATACACTTAACTGACATTTTATTTAATGGTATTCTTTCAATCCGTATATTGTACACCATTAAATAAAACGCTGGATGCTTTAAGTGTCGACCAAGTTGTACCCCATAGTTACAAGATATCGATAGTTCACTAACCCTGATTGGACCATTATATGTTGAGATGAACTAAATACAAACAAAAAGTTCATTTATTGATAAAATACGTTTTTTTTAAATCTATCAATATTATTTTTACCGCTTTGAATATTACGATATTAATTAATTTCTGTTGTATTACGAGTCTCGTAAAACATTTGAGTGTTACACTAAATACCTTTCCCCTGATTGGTCAATACATCCGAACGTCTAACGACATTTTCAATTTCTTTAATCAATTAACATTAATATGTCTATATATTCACGATATAGCTGAATCTGGCCAAGATGACATTTCTTCGCCTGAAAGTCATATTGTCAAATGGGCGTGTTGGTTTATATGAATCGAACCAATTTTGTAATAGGTGTTTTTATATATTGGAATGCATGAAATTAATCGGATTGATTAATTAATTGATTTTTATGAATCCGATTTAAGACGATAAGAGAGCATCTTAACGTTCCATATAAATATTTCTCTTTGAAATAGGAAAATTACAGTGAGAATTATCGTAAAAGATTTAACCATTGAAAATAATATTTCCCTTAAATAGTATTTATATTAGAAATAATTTATCCTTAACTCCTACAAAACAATGACATCATATAAAGCATCAATTATTAATTTTTAATTGATATACATCTAAATAGCTTATTTTCATAAATAGAAAACTGGTTCTTAATTAGTGTTTATATAATCTTACATCTGAAATATAGCTGCAATATATAGCAATATATCTTATAACAATATATATAGCAATAGAAATATTCATATTGATATATCCGAATTAAATTTTCGTCTTGTTAAGGAATTATTACAACTTTACTTCAAATAAAGTCGTTTTATTTTGTCATGTCTTCTGTATTCAAACAGTTTATAGGACGGTTTTTCATAGATGTTAATTCATCCATATATATATATATATATATATATATATATATATATATATATATATATATATATATATATAGCTTTTAAAGATAATATGTAGGTTTATGAGTATACAATTTATTTCGTGTTGAACTTTTGTTGTCTCCATTGTATGTTAGTAAACAGTTATATCCAATGTACAAATATACACTTTCAAATGCATATACTTTAAATATGATGTAATATAATGATTTATTATCAATTTCCGTATATTGTAGTACATAATTAATGTGTATATATATTGTAAGTGTCGATCACGTGTCTGATATGATCACTGTACTGTTTTACACGCACAGTTGTTCATTTTATGTACTTTCTGGGATACTCATTATTCATGCTTTAGTGATATTTAACAAAGATTCTACATTAATTATAAGTTGTAACAAACTGATATCAAAGATATGTTTTTCTGATGTAAATCAATTAGAATTGTTTAGGAATTTCTAAAACGTGCTTCTTTTCAAAATTCGGAAGTGATTTTGTCGCTCCTGATTTAAGTCAAAAGTAGTAATTGGTCTTCCCAGCCGTGAAATTTTATCGCTGTTAAATGGAAGTAAAACGGGGAAAATCCCGAATAAATCTTAATTTATGTACCGAATTTTTAGGAACATTTTCCATATCTTATTTTAGTTTAAACTTATTTCATTACTTCTAAAATAAGCAAGAAGATTTGGCATAAGTTTTGACAACTTAAAGAAACCCTCTCCTTAACAATTTAATTCAACAATATGACGGCAACAATAACCAGATATGTACATTTTATACATTACAATGAAATTGGAATTTAAAAGAACGAATGCGTTATTTTAAAACAAATATTACTTAATTTAGATTTTTGATAGTTTTTGTCTATAACTTAACATATATTTCATTAGAACCACAAGCGTCCAGTGTCATTTAGTAACAATACCTCTTTATAAGCTACAGCTATTTGGCTTGTGTATGGTATATGTTTAATAAATTAACCAAAAGCTGTACCCTTATGCATAGTATTTTTTATCATATGAAGAACGATATTATAAACATGATAATAGAGCTATATATATATAGCTCGTTTCAACATATTTTCAGATTTTTTTTTACATATTTATAATGTTACAATTTGACGCTTCAACGACTTCGTTTACCATTTTTTGTTCATTTAACAAAGGAACGTGTCAAAAACGCACCAGAACTAAGGAAGGGACCCTCACATTGACTAAGTATAAGACAGGACACTTGTCTAGGGGTGTATGACAGAACACACAGCGCCAGGCTTTCAAGTAATTTGTGTTATTGACAAAATATAATGGTTCATCTCCCCATGTGCACCATGTATATTTAATAAGTAAATTGTTATCTTTTATAAAGTTTATTTTCATTACTTTTATGATTTAAATATGAAAATGAGCTCTGTGTTTGTGAAGAACATGTTTAGGAAAAACAGTAATCTGTTTACTGAACAAACACACGAGAAATAAAATCAATATTTACGATAAATCGGCGATTCGAAGCCAACAACGCCCCCGGTTATGTACCTGAGTGTTAATAACGAGACATCACATTACACATTCACTAGAATTACTGCGGACGAGCTCAGCCTCGCCAGTCGTCACTCAACATTCTAAAATTTGTTTCAGTTCAGCTTTTGTTTTGTTGACAGATAATTTTGATTAAATTATTATTTATATATTTGTATTCACATTGTCATTTCAACTTTATTTCATTTTTATCTATGTAAAAAAATATTTACTAGATAAACAGTGAAATTACTTAACGTATGTGATGATGATGCTGATAAAGTATATCTGTTTTCTTTTCATATTTTAATTTCATTGCGAAAAAAATATTCATAGATCTAGGGCTAATTCAAATTAAATATTTCCACGAAGATTGCAACGTATCCATTATGTTTTAATAACGACATTTTCATACATAATATCACCAGGGTTTCTCATCAAATAACCGACAAAATTATTTAATTTCAGAATATGCATAAAGTATGTTTATTTGAATAGAAAGTTCCCGTTTTTCGTGTCACTTCTTGCAATAAGACAGAAAAAGAACTGAACCGGAATTTGATTACATAAACATTATTTGTCGAAACGTTCAGTTTTTTTCCCCAGCGAGTCCTAGGTTGAGTCATATAGCCTTGTTTTCGTTCTTTTTTTAGGCTTATTTTAGATTTTCACACACTGACAATCAAAGCGTGAATCTGTTTTTAGCTAAACCATGTTTCCTGAATAAGGGTATCAACAAATATCTCACTATAACACGCCCACACGTATATAACATCTTTGTATATGCCAGTGTAAATCTTAGCGCGTAAAAGTCATCCGTAATTCTAAATTTCAAACTTCAACAGAATATAACAAAACTATCTAAGGGACTCCGAATGACACATCTACCAGTAAATGACTCTCAAACGATAGGAAATACTTGTGTTTTATCTGTACGGACATATTTTGTTAAGAATATGCATGAAAAATTTTATTTGTGTAAATAAGTAGATTTTAATCAAGCATTGAAATGCTTTAAAAATACTAAAATAATTTTCGAAATCATTTCTTTCATTTTTTTTTCATTTGAAAAGAATAGAGTTTAAAGGAAGCATTGTGACTGAACATTTACTCCATTTAACAATAACTTACACAACAAACAAGTTACACAATTCTTAAACAATGAAGTGTCAATGTTTCAGTTTGCTCGACCAACTGTTTAACACGTGTGTAACTGTTATTTAGCATCTTTAAATTAAAACGCGGTTTTGAAATACGCTGGCAGTTGTGCATTTACGTAAAATGTCAAACTAAATTAGATTTTTAATTTAACTTACAGATTACATGAGTGTTTCACTGCAGAATGACCATGGTTTAGGTCTCGTTCTCTTTCAGTTTAACCTGACACCAGAAAGGAACGGCCTAACACGCTGGTATGAACGAATGATTTGCTTCTAGATTGATATCTAACAATTCAGTAATACCACTTAAACATATTCAGTAAGTTTAAAATTTAATATATTTCTGCTGTAACTATGTGAAAATACACGTTAGAGTCATGTATCGTAATTAGCTTTCCCAGCATAATTAAGTTTTTCTAGATTCCAACTCTGAACAGAAAACCATCGACATAGATGTGAATGAAAGGAGTATATTGAAAAGAACAAGATATCTCCATGAATATTTTAAATTGTGAAATTTATCTTATATTCCATACAAAATAAACATATATATATATATTTGTGCTACAACTGATATTTTCTTATGTAATCATATTTTTTTCTATAAGGAAATGTCTTGCACACACCATACCTTAAAGCTATCTTTGAGAACCACGTTATATGACCAGGAGGTCAAACAGTTCATTCACTGCTCCAGTAGTCTTCTGAAAACAGTACACTTTTTCCCGTCACTTTTAAAAGTCACTGAGATAAAAATCACGACAGTCAGATATTCACTTTAAAAGAAACAACAAAAAACCCTAACAAATCCACATTTATGAGTTATTTTGCACCATGAACTAGCGTTAAAAACTCTAGGTCAAAACTTACTATATTCACAAGTATACGAACTTGGGGACTTATAGGGCGTCCGAAAGGCTGCTAGTTGACAGCTCGCAGAGGTCTGCCCCTGGGACCCGGGCTGTCCACCCAAAAGTCTCTGACTGTCGAACACATCCCGAACCGTTGAGAAGGGCGAGGCAGATGAGAAGTCCGTACTATGAGGAGAAAATTCGCTCGAGGGTGGGGACATGTACCATGCACTTGCACGTCCGTAAGTCTGGTTCTGTGACATGGTGAACATGGCAGAGTTAATTCCATTGGTTTGAGAAATTGTTCCATGGGCATGGGCATGGGCTGGTGCTGGCTGGGGACTAGCGCTTCCCGTGCTCCCTTCATCAGCCCCGGGGGAGCCAACCTGAAGAGAATGTACCCCCGGGTTTCCAAGAGCAGTCTGTCCCAAGAGAGACTGAGCACTGCCGTTCGCGGGGTAAGAGTATCCTAAGGGTGGTGACATATTTTGATTACACGTGGACACGTTCCTGTAAATGTCAGACACCCGCGTTCCCGTGTATTGTAGGACGGACGGACTGATGAGCGGTGTCTGTCTGTTTGAAGCGAAGTTACAATTGTTAGAAATGTCACAGGGCACGCTTGTATGAGTATTGGTCATCAGGTTTTCCACGGAGAAACTGCTGGACGGAGGGTCCAATGGATCGGTAGGAATAGGAAGCGAGCTCGGACTGTGATGAGAATGTCCGGTGTTCATACATTCCGGACTGACCGGGTCCAAAGGCTCTAGCTTGGTCCCAGTCATTGGAAGCATCCTTGTCCCGGGAGAGTTTGGAGGAGTCTCCAAGCCGTTAGTTGTTTTCTTGAGATCGTATTTTTGGGGACTCGTTGAACTGTCGGAATATTCTGAGGTCACAGATTCCCCATTCCTTGGAATATCATTGTCGGCATCGGACTTGTGGTCATTCGAACACTTGCGTTGGTCCTTGGTATCTTCGGGGTCGCGGTCATGTTTTTCCTTCAGAGCAGTCTTCTTTTTAAACCGTCTCCTACGCCTGAGGTAGCTACCATTATCAAACATATTGTAACTATCTGGATCCAAACTCCAGTAAGACCCTTTTCCGGGCTTCTTGTCATCCCTTGGTACCTTGATAAAACACTCGTTTAGGGACAGGTTATGGCGTATACTGTTTTGCCATCCCTGTTTATTTTCCCTGTAGAATGGAAACCTGTCCATAATGAACTGATACACTCCATTGAGGGTGATTTTTTTATCCGGTTGACTCTGAATTGACATGGCGATGAGAGCAATGTAGCTGTAAGGGGGTTTTACCATATCCTTGTGGACCTGTTGTGGTGGGCCGTACGGATTGTAGGGGTTTGAGCGCCCCATGTGGGGATATTGGTCCGCCGCTCCGTACATAGCGGCCATTCCACCCATGGTTACGGAAGTGTATCCGCCGTGCCGGTAGTAGTTCTGGTCCCCAAACAGAGCGGGTACCACACTGAGTCCTGTCCCGTTTCCGATCCCGGGGACATTTGTAGAATGATGGTAGCGATGTTGAAGAGGTCCTGGTTGCATCTCCCTGCTCCCAACAGTATAAATATTATTTTTGAAAATCACTTGTGTATAGTAAAGTCCACTTTCAAGTGATAAAATGTCTTTTCCACCAAAACAATTCCAGCTCGTAAATTTCGCCTGTCGTTTTCTCACACGCAAAGCATGTGTTTATGCTGTGTGTGTGTGTTTCACGCCGGTCTCGTCCTCGTGATCAAGTGTCTGTTATTACAAGCTAAGATAGACGTGATCCCGATGGCCTTATGATCAACAACGTTAACTATCGAGTGATTTGTTGTGACTAATAAGCTACAAATATGGAACAAGTCTCCGCCTACAATTTTCGCCGAGCCAATCAGAACGTGCTGTAATCTTATCTGCGAATCTGCTGGCCACACACAGGGGTTGACGGGATACGGGGCCTGTCCGCGTGGGGAAAGGCCGTCATCGACTTGAGTAATTGACAATTTTAACAGAGATCTTTCTCTCGTCTGTATAAGTACGTATTCAGACGAACACAGCCGGTAGAAAGGGAACCAGTGAAAATTTAAATACTGTGTAAATTTTATTTGAATCCCGTGTGTTGAAGGGAAGCACCTATTCTTGTTTATAACATATCCCATGTTTTTATTCAGAAACCTGTGCCATTGTTGTTAGATCGACACACATTCAGTAGTTTAATGAAATGAACACGTATGCCTGCAAGCAAATTGGATCTAAGAAAATTGTCTCTTTAACGTACTGTCAAGTTCGGTAAACTTCAGCTGAACGGACCGGCAATGACATATCATATCAGAAATCACAGCATTACAACAGTGACACCTTCCGATCTTGTCAGTCCTCATCTGATCATACACAAACCTATTTATTTACTTTATAAATACTCAGGTTGTTTTCTATAAATATTTTCAAATTTAGCTCAATACATGTATAAGTGTTGGGCAGGTTTTTCTACATAACATAACGGCAGTAAACGGATTTACAAATACTTCTCAGATAGCAGAATAAATATTGACCGACAGCAAAGTGTTGTTAACAAGTCAATGTAGCAGGTTGATATAACGGTGTGACTCAAACACAATAAATATACAAGCTATTTACATTGAACATTATTTAACATTAAATGGTGTTGTGGCGTTATAGATTTGTTATTAGGGCACAGCTCTACTGTTCCTGTACATTACTATAACTTACAACAGTTGACACAAGGAATTAAAGATACCCAACTCCGAGATTTAACGAGAAGTCAGTTTCATCATTGTTTAAGACAATTCTGTGATATACTTGTTAGCTGTTATAGCAGGCTCTCGTGTATATATCACGGCTAGTTAATTAAATATATTCTTGTTTATTTTAAAACTCTTCTGATGTTTATTGACATGACCAGTAGAAACCCTGCACCACACTTTACGTTTTAAATAAGGAATATTTGTCTTATTTATAGAAAAATAATATGATTTTTGCTTACTTAATGTATGAGTCGTGTAAAATAAATAAATAAATAAATAAATTTATAAATGAATAAATAAATAAATAAACAAAATGACAGTGCCGAAACCGGTATAATTAATAAAATGTACAGCACACTATCCCTTTTAATGTATAAGGTGCATATGACACCATTGTAGTCTAAAGGCAAATATTTTTATCCTGTTCACCAGATGAAAAGTCATCTGGTGAATGTGTTGACAACTTCATAATCAAGTTGTAATTCTAGAAAAGTTTAAAGTGAAATCTACACAAGTTCAAAACGGAATCCATCTTATTTTAAAACTCTAGAATTACTCCCATCTGAGTTACGGTCATTAATCATAAATTTGAGAAATGTACTTTTTTCCTTTGTACAAATTTCTTCTATAATTACCGCGGAAATAGTTAACAGTAGTTCATGAACAATAATCACTTTTGAATAACTTGGTAGTGGTCATCAATCACTTAAAGCGGGGGGCCTTGAGAAAAAAAGTACAAATATTCACTATTTTCACACTAAATTTCACAACGTTATGAATAATCCAGAAATTGGCGTTTTTCTCCCGGTAGGGGTGCCATTTTTCATGAACAATCGAAAATACAGAATCAGTTGTGGTCGGTCACTAGCATTTGCTCCCGTCGAGTCGACCTACAACAGGTGGAACACGTTAGCGTAGGGTTACCATCACCTCGGCTCGGGATCTCTCTCGGCAGGGAACGCCACAAATGTACACAGTCTTAAGATTGGGGACCCCCACCAATCTGACGTCTGATAAGTTTCTTGGAGAGTGAGAAACGCATGACGCAGTCATGCACGTGCATGGGTATATTTTTGGAACACAAAAAGAACCCAAAAGAATTTTAAAACAAGACAAGCTCAAAAGATTTCCCGCCGAGAAGATTGGATTACAATTTATAGTTCAACTGCAAAGAAACACAATTCCCAGACAAAACAAATTTCATATAATGTCAAAATGAAAACCTGTACATTATGACACGTGTCTATGGATTTCGTAACCGATCACAGTCAATTTTTCCTGATTTGAAACCATCCCTGCTGTTATTATCTTTATTATCTTGATCCAATTAAATACTTAAAATAATATGTGTTGTTTTTCGTGAATATTCTAACAAAGTACAGAAATGCATGTACAACGTTTGTAGTAAGTTATACAACACTAATTACAGAAACGGTCATTAAGGAGATCCGATAGAAAGGACGTCTTTGTTGAGACTAAAATTAGATAAAAAAATTAAAAAAACAAAAAAACAAAACAAAAACAAAACAAAAACAAAAACAAAACAAAAAAAGGTGAAACCATCAATGCCGTTTAAACATTTTTAAAATCAGTTTTTAATTTTGTTACATATTATTCTTAAATTTAATTTCTAAATAATTATTTCTAATATGAACACGAAACATCATACTTAAAAACCGGAAATAAAACATGGATACTAATTATTCCGGAACTACAATCTATTGATATCAAAGGTCAGATTATTTTGGACACAGCTGGTCACTAGGGTGTGTTGTCCAGGTGCTGACCAGTCGGATAACTGTGTACTGCACACGTGTTAGATCCAACCGTATTCAAACAATATTTATACAACGCCAAATTTTACCAATTACATAGATTTGGTTTCAAGCGTATCGATGGTGTAGGCCGGAAAAAAGAGCAACTCATTTTTATCCGGAACGAGTCACAGATTTCTAGACATAAAAGAGAAAGTGATTGCTTGTGTAAATTGTCTATAGCCTTCTCAAGTAAACCAAAGTGATTCCTTTAGATGATGAACAAACCATGGTAAACTGTTTCTTAATCTTGATAACAAAATATCACTGAATTAATTCGTATCAAAAGTACGGGTCGGGGAATACCTTGATGCAAGTAAATAGTTATATATATACAAAACAAAAATATCAATGCATAATGATAACAGCTATTGTTCTGCAACTTGTTAAATTATGTTGGAAAATTAAAAAAATTAAAAAAAAAATCGTAGTTCTTTATATAAATATCTTGTGCTACTGAATAAATATTTCTATAATTAACGTTAAAAAAATTATGGAGGTACTTAACATTTGTACGCACCAGTAACATAAGCTTAAGACAATATCGATATTTTCTTATTATCGAAGGAATAGCACCATTCTATATCGTAAATTAATAACACAAATAGCTTCACCAAAATGCCAAAATTTAAAGATGGCCTATCGTAATAGAAAGATATACAAGAATAACTTAAAAAGAATTACTCCGAGAAATTCTGCATCACCTGGAACCATTCTAGATTGCGTAAAATTCGTTGTGGTGTGCAGTAGAATGTATTCGTAGTTATGCCATTAAGCGTTTTATTTTTATTTTGGTGTTTTTTTAATTGACCTTGTTGTATTTCCTTATGTTTTGGTGTCGCCGGAGTGTTTTAATCACTCGAGGTCTAATTGGGGCAATTTCCAGGAATTGGCCGCAGGTTGGTGGTTTTTTTTCTCTTGGAACTTCTCCTTTCCTCTACCAACCAAATCTGACACATCCTTAAATGATCCTGGCTGTTAATTGGACGTAAAACAACAATAAACCAAACTAAATTAATTTGTTGTCGCCAAAGCTTTCACGTTGTCTTCCCTTTTCTTTTGGTGTCGTTTACGCTCATATTGTTGCCTTTGCTTATATTTTGGTGTCTCCTTAATTCTAATTGTTGTCTTTATTGTTCTTGTTTCTCCTCAAGTTTTGCTATTGGGTTTTCTTTCACTTTTGTTTTTTTTATCTCATATCGAAATTGCAAACAGATTTTGTCCCTGTGTTAACTGTGTGGTATTGGGTTTTTACATTCAATTACGTTGTTAACAATTAAAGAAAAGATCAAGTAATGAAGATTTGGGGGGATATCTAAACGACTCATGTTTTGTTAAAGAAAATAAAATTTTACATTCTGAGCAAGGTTACTAAAGAATGATTACTTGTGTATCTGCAAAAATCAAAAGCTACTATTGAAGAAATGGCCACATTGTCCATTGGGATCTAAACGATCGCCGTGGTTAATACGTTATCATTAATTAAAGTCAAATTATCATTAATACTTCTAAAGTTATACTACAAGGAATAATAAGGTTTTTGTTAACAGGTCTGACAAAACTCTTTGGTCAATCCATCCTCTGTCGAAAGCAAACAACAGTTGGCCAAGACAGGGGTGTAGTTTGTTCTATGGCTTTCTGTAAAATTTTCTTATCAGCTGAACAATAATTCAATTTCAAAGCGTTCCTTAAGGTTTTTGGTTGAAAGTTTACTAGAAACAGATATATAGGTTTAGTTAGAAAAGTCTATGGAGTTTTGCATTTAATTAATTTCACTTATTGAAAATCATAATGTAACCTAGCGAACGGAAATCAGCTATACTGATTTCCTTAATCTTTCATAGTACTAACTATAAAACGTTAAAATGTGATGTATCCTTGAATTCAAAACATTTATGCTGAATCAATACTAAAACAACAACAACAACAACAACCCTTTAAAAAACAAAAAAAAAAAAAAAAAAAGTAAATTATCATACTG